CAGAAGGAGAGGAGAAGCATGTACTAGTCCAGTCATTTACATACATGGGTGATAGCATCCAAATAAAGAATGCAAGAAACATCACATTTATTTGACTTTCTTTAAATCAAGTTAAATCCTATGCCAGTTAACATCCTGGCTGTTAACGTGGCTGCCCAGAAATCCCATCGTGAATGTTACAGGGGATCCAGCGTTCCCCAGGATTCTCTCTAGATCACAGGGCTTTGGGAGCTTGGACCAGATCATCCATCTACCCTGGGAGATTCTGCTGCTTCCATAAGTTTGGGGCCCTGGGGAATCTTATGCAGGCCAAGTCCCCAGGTATCTCACACAGCCATACCCTTGTCACCTCCCAAAGAGATCACATGGAGAGGCTCCCACTCTGTCCCATCTCCACTCTGAGAGACTCGCCCCTGTCCCCTGCTGCTCTCAGAAGCTCCTTCTCTCCCTTCCCCTCTGGGAATTTAGCACAACTTAGTGATTTGATAATGTTACATTTTTATCCTGTCACACATATTCTCCTCTTTAAATCACCTTAAAAAGCCTATGAGAATCATTAATCCTTTATACAGATGAAAAAACGAAGGCTGGGAGAGACTGAGTCACTCAGGCAGGAAGAGGGGGAAGTGACACTCAGCTTCAGGTATGCCACAGTCTGCGCTCTATACCCTACCCCTGGATGCCGAGGCCAGGACCCCCAAACTAGGAGAGCAGTCATGAATAAGACAATATTAACAGAGGGCACAGACGTCACTTTCAGACAAATTCATTCTGGCTCCATCATTACTCCACAAGCTCCCAGGGCTGGAACAATCTCCACGCTGGATGGTGGTCTCCTACAGACCTCCTTTGAAATGCTCCCAACCTGAATATGTGCACAGACCTTCAAATTTTAGACCGGGAAAGGCCTTAGAAATTACCTAGTCCTCTTTTTTTGGAAGATGAAACAGAGCCCTGAGAGATGAACAGGCTAGAGAATGTGGCTTACCTAGCCACCCTCCCTGCCCTGTGCCAGGAAGCCAGACCCAGCAGCTCCCTTTGGAGCCAAGTCAGACCTCTGAAAAAGAATGTTTCTCCATCTTCTGCCCCAGGACTCTCTAAGAGGGTGGCAGAGGTTACAGCCTGGAGCCATTCCTAGTAACTGAGCACCTACAATGTATGTCTGCGTGTTCATTCAGCAAAGATGGAGCATCTACTGTGCGCAGGGTACCTACTGCACATATCCAGAATAGAATTCACAGCCTAGCAGGGAGACAAAGGAAGAGGCAGGGCCAGATTCATGAGTGTCAAGGTAAGAACATCCAAACCGGTAGAGAATTTTTATGAGTTTATTTGAGCCAAACTGATGACATGGCTGAGAAGCAAGATCTCAAATGCTCTGGAGAATGACAGTTTTGCAGTTCTTTTTATACATTTGGAATTAAGGAGGAGAAAGAAATTGGGGGAAATCTCTATGATTAGATTACAGAACAGTTAACAAGATTAATTAACAAGGTGCTCCCTTGAGGGTGGACACATCTCCAAGGGGTCTGAAAAAGAGGTTTACTCTGGCATTTCAAAGGTGTGTTAGCCTACACGCACAAGAACACGGACAGGACTTGCTTAAGATAAACCTTTTGCTAAAGAAGTTATAGAGGCGTGACTTCCCACCATGACCTGCAGTTAGGAATTTAGGATCAGATCACCCTGTGAGATTACTTTTGGTCACTGACTTTATCGGATTTATTACATAGCCCCTTTTTCATTCATATGAGCATGCAACCCATACAGTCACACAGGACCCCATGCATAGAAGGTCCTGTGCTTGGTTTAGGCTCTGCTGTCACTGTCTTAAGATTCCTAACCATTTTTAAACAAAAGCATCCACATTTTCATTTTGTATTGGGTCCAGCAAATTAGATAGCCAGTCCAAGAAATGGGTAACCAAAATGAAGTGTGATAAATGCCAAAATAGTGAGGGCACAAAACAGGACTTCAGTCTTCTCAGAAGAACAGATAATCTCAGCTGAGTCCTGAAGGATGAATGGGAAATGCCACATGAAGATGTTGACAAAAATTCCAAAAGAAATTAAAAGAGAGTTTTATTCATATATGATTTGCTACTCAGGGACACGGACCTTGCTATGAACTGAAGACATGTTCCAGAATGGAAGGGCTAGGGCTAGGCTTTTAAAGGCAGAAGTTGCAAGGAGCTGATTATCGAAGAGATGGGTTGCTAGGGGAAACAAGACCACAAACTTACATCATTCATTTTCTGATTGGTGGGGGCAACTGGACCTTTCAACAGTCGGCTGACCCAGTGGTCAGCAAGTGGGGCTGTGATACAAAAACAATAGGTAACATATAATGAGGTATTTGTCAATGTCCTAGTTCTGGTTCAGGCTTGTAGAACAAAAGCTTTTGGGTTACTTATCAACAGAAATCAAACAGCACAGAGAGACTGTTCAGTCTGCCGGGAGTTTCCAAGTCCAAGGAGCAGAGTCATCCTCTGTACGCCGTCTGAGTTCAAACCAAATGTTGGGCCACAAAGTAGGATATTAGAGATCTTATATGTCCTCAAAGAGGAGGGAAGAATGTACCAAGCATAAGGAGAACATGCACAAACACCCTGAGATGAGAAAACTCGAGCTTCATGGAGTTGTGATGGCATAGAATGTGGAGTGGCAACGGACCAGGAGCCCGACAGGAGGACTAGGACCAAGGAAAGCCAAGGCGAAAGGGAGGGGCTCATCCTATTGGACATCAAGACCTTGTGTAAAGCTCCTATAATTAAGAGAGTGTGGCTTATAGATAAACCAGTGGAACAGAACAGACTCCAAAAAGGAACACACACATACAGAAACCCAATAATTATGATAACCAAGGCACAATGAATCAGTGGGGCAAAATGCATGATTCGATAAAATGATGCTGGGACAATTGGCAATCCTCACTGGAAAACAAAATTAGACCCCTTCTCGCACCACACACACACACACACACACAAAATAAATTCCAGGTGGCTTAAAGACCTAGGAGCGAAAAGCGAAGCTTTAAGACTCTCAAAAGGAAATACAGAATATCTTTATAAATTTGAGACAGAGAAAGGATTTTTTAAATATGACACAGGATCTTTTCCTAACAAGTAAGACTGATAAACTGGACCACATTATTGTTCTAAATTTTCATACAGCAAAATATGTGTGCACACCTGAAAGGATAGCCCTGCCTCATTCACTCTCCCCCACACCTCTTTCAAGCACATCCATGTCTGTGAGGATAGAGGTTCCCAGGTAGAGGGCAGGGTGGGTCCTCAGCATCTCATACCCAGATAGAATTGAGACTGGGATGCCCATGACTTCTAGCCATGGTTCCCCTTTTCCTGATATCAAGGAAGCCAAATTATTAATCAAAAGATTACTTAGTAAATACAGACTCAAAACAAACTGTTGAGTCCATCTAGCTTTTCCTGTCTCAGGGTTTTCATCCTGCAGGGTCTTACTTCATTTATTAATTCAATTATTGGCAATCTTTAAAAATCAAGATTTTTAATGAACATCTCAATTTCCAGGTTCTATTGAAAAAGATCTAGCACAACGGGCTGCAGGTGAATAGCCAATGCAGCCTCTAACTCTCAACCCAGCCCCCACCACAATCAACTACATCACGCTTTATTGTCTTCATGCCTTTATCTTACCTGCCTGGACCCTGGAGGCCCTGGAGTCTAAAACCACTCTATTTACCCCCGCAACTGAGAGCATTTCAATTAATAAATTGAAAGAGCAAGAAAAGTTAACTGTTTTGAAGGACATCGTTCATCTTCTATCTGGGAAGGCTCTATCCCACACAATTTGTATGACACAAAGGGCACCCTTCAGGTGCCTGAATTCTTCTCCAGCGCCCAGAATCAGTTACTCTCCCTTAAACTCTTACTTAATGAGCTGGCATTCTTTCATTAGATTATCTAAATGACAAATTTAGAGATTAACCCATTTGTAAGTTAGATGCATCTAATATCATTATGATAATCTAATTTATAAAGTTAAGGTTGTCTATATATATACATATACATATAATAAATGGGGCCACTTTAAAATGGAGCCAGAGCTACCATGCCAGAGGAACTGCCTTACACATCTTGCACCTCAAACCTTGGAATGTTAAAAAAGGACAAAATAATCTTTGGACTGGGCCTAAGGAAACACTGTGTCCCAAAGACTGTTTGCAAAGATACGAAGAAAGCAATTATTATGACTACTAAACTGAAAAGTAACATCACTAGTTATGTTATCTGCACCAATACAAATGCCTTCCTTTTAATGATGTAACTATTCCTCTTCCTCATAAATATCCGATGCCTTTGTCTCATAACTGGAGTATCATTTGGGCTTCTGCGTGAATTAATGATTCCCAAATAGCTATTCTTATTGATCTCAAAATGAATGCTCCTTGCCTCTCACTTGGAAAGGCAATTTTATTTTTAGGTTAACAAAGTTTTGGTTATATTATTGTATGTTGATTAAAGTGCGGCCCTAAATCCGTAAAGATAGAGGGAGTTAAGTGGATAACTAGGTTGGGTATGAGATAGTGGGAATTTGTCCTGTTTTGGAGGGCTCAGCATCCTAACACCCTCTAAGGACCGCCAACCTACTCCATAAAAATCCTTCCTGGATTTATTGCAGGTAGGGTTGCAACAGGGTCAAGTAAATGGAACATGCCAGAGAACATATTGCGCAGGCGCATCCGAAACCTTCCGCCACTTTTCCGCGCAGCTGACACCTTCCTTCCGCACTGCGCAGGCGCTTAGACGAACCAAGGTTTCCCTCCCCCTTCCACCTCCCCTGAGCCAAAGGACGCCCTACCGCAGCAATGAGTTCCTGCGCAAGCGCTGTCCCGCGTTCTGTCCCCAAACCAATTGGAAGCGGCGGTGCCCGGGCGCGGGGGGCACGACGCCGTGGGCGGGGTCTGGACGTGAGGACAGCGCGCTGGCGTCACAGGGGCGGCTATATAAGTGAATACAGGCACCGCCCCTCCGCCCCAGTCACTGAGCCGCCGCCGAGGACTCAGCAGCCTCCCCCTTGAGCCCCCTCGCTTCCCGACGCTCCGTCCCCCCTGCCCGCCTTCTCCCGCCGCCGCCTTCCGCAGGCCGTTTCCACCGAGGAAAAGGAATCGTATCGTATGTCCGCTATCCAGAACCTCCACTCTTTCGGTAAGCTACGGAAAGGTCCGACGGGGGGAACGGCCGGGGTGGGGTGGCGCGGCGATCTAGGCCCGGAGACGGGGCCTAGAAAGCTGCCAAGCGGTCTGGCCCTTCGTAAATGTGGGCGGAGGGAAGGTGTCTGGCCTTGCGAGCAGTGGGGACAGGGCCTAGGCCCTGGGGTCGGCCTCTGAGCGTGACCGGAAGGCTAGGGCGAGAGGTCAGCCTTTGGGCGGGCCCGGTGTCTCGGGTGGCGCATTTACTAATGGCTCCAGGGCCACCGCGGGCCACACCCGCCCCCTCCCGCCACTCCTGCGTCACGTCCGTTACGTCACCGCCGCTGTCACGGAGCCGGGAGGGGGAGGCGGCACCAGCCCTAAGTGACAAACGCGCGCGCCAATGGGGCGGGAAATTGGCCCCGCCTCGGAGCTCGGGTTCCGGCCGGTTGCATCAGCCGAGTAGGGCGCTGTCTGCCAGCCCTGGCTCCCTCCACACGTGATCGGCTTCCGAGGGCGGGCCCAGGGCAGGAGGCCCAGACTTTCTACGGGGCTGGGGAAGCCAGCCGTCCCAGACTGACCTGTTTGTGGAGAGCCAGCAAAGGACATATCTGACCTGGCCCAGGTCTAGGCGATTTCAGTATTAGTTTCTGCACGTAAAAGATCCAGTGGGAGGGTAACAGTGGCATCTGAGCCACAACAGTTCTAAACTTGACCTTTCTTTGTAGACCCCTTTGCTGATGCAAGTAAGGGTGATGATCTGCTTCCTGCTGGCACTGAGGATTATATCCATATAAGAATTCAACAGAGAAACGGCAGGAAGACCCTTACTACTGTCCAAGGGATCGCTGATGATTACGATAAAAAGAAACTAGTGAAGGCGTTTAAGAAGGTAGGTCTTAATTGTAGGAAATTCACATTTTACATACCCACATGGTAGTGGTGCATTCTTTCCCAAAAAGGATTATTAGTGCATGGGTGCCGTTGCTTGACCTAATTTGTTTTGCTTCCTTCGTGCTTGCAGAAATTTGCCTGCAATGGTACTGTAATTGAGCATCCAGAATATGGAGAAGTAATTCAGCTACAGGGTGACCAGCGCAAGAACATATGCCAGTTCCTCGTAGAGGTGAGTTCAGTCACTTGATGATGATGCATTTGAACCTCTTCCCTGGCTAATGTGTAATTCTCCCTAGTCTATTCAATTTCTTCTAGAAGTTCTCATTTTGTAAAGCCGAGCAAAAACAGTTGAGTTTTAAAGTACATAGATGAATGTATTTCCAAAAACAGAAGGGACTTTCCTGCTTTAAGTTTACTGCTTGTATGGATCTACTGATTGCAAAAATAAAACAGGATGTCTGGTTGGCTATTCCTCCCACGTGCTAAAATTCTCTCACATCATTGGTTCTTAACTGGGTTTCCTGAGCGGATAACCACTGTGCTCCTGGTGGTTGAGATGTGCATCTTGGCTTTTGGACTTCCCTTGCCCGGTGTAGAAGCAGAAAGAATTATTGGCGTCAGAATTGGAGACTTTAACTCTCTTTAAAACTTTGCCCTTTTTTCTTTGCAGATTGGTCTGGCTAAGGACGACCAGCTGAAGGTTCATGGGTTTTAAGTGCTTTTTGGCTCACTGAAGCTTAAGTGAGGATTTCCTTGCAATGAGTAGAATTTCCCTTCTGTCCCTTGTCACAAGTTTAAAAACCTCACAGCTTGTATAATGTAACCATTTGGGGTCTGCTTTTAACTTGGACTAGTGTAACTCCTTCATGCAATAAACTGAAAAGAGCCATGCTGTCTAGTCTTGAAGTCCCTCATTTAAACAGAGGTCAAGCAGTAGGCACCCGGCAGTGTCCAGCCTGAAACAAAGCAATAACGTGATGTTTCGGCCAAGCTCAGAGCCCCAAGATCACAGATGGCTATGTCCAGCCAGAAGCTCCTCGGCTCTCCCTCTACAGAATTCCCTGCCCTAAGAGAATGTCACCACCTGAACAGCCTTCGGTGAAGCTTGAGAGAGGATGGGGTAAGGCAGCAACAGCAGCTGTGCCACTAGAGGGAGCCTCCAGTAGTCAAAGATCCCTTGGTGTCTCCAATCTGACCAGGTGGGTGGAGCTTCAGGCAGTCACCTTCCCGCTGTTGAGGTGATAAGGACACCTGGCTTGCCACCAAGGTGTTTTTGATAAGAAATGTCCTAACCGATGTCCAAACACAGAATGTGAGGCCAACCTTCTATCAGAGTTAAACTTTTGACAAGGGAACAAGTTTCAAACTGATGTGTCATGTAGCTAGCTGTAGAGCTTGCAGTTTACTAGCAAGAGCTGCCCAATGCCATGTGAAGTAACAGATTTTTGGTTTTTTCCCTTCAGTTTTAATGTTATGTAATGTATTTAAACCCTTATTTAAATAAAACTTGTTTTCAGAAACACCTGAGTTATAGATTCTATTTTATGTATAGTCAGTTGTATGTGTGAAGGAACTACAGAAATGGACAGTGGAGGATCCATCTGCACTCACAGCTTCTCATCTGGGGCCTCAATGAACGTCTGGGCCAAAAACCTTTAGTGAGCAATTATGTCAAGGTCTTCTTGGGTCCATTAATCCTGTGAAAATACTGTAATTCTTCCAGCATGTAGATCATAAACATCCTCATTTCAGGTAATGAAATACAGGCTTCAAACTGCTAAGAAAGGTCATGAGGAATCAACATTTTTCCTATCTGTTTTCATCCTGTTTTGTAGATGGTTGAGGTGTGGAGCATGGCTGGTGAAAGGCTAAGCCAGTGGCAATTGCCTTGAAAATAGGAGGACTCTAACCCTGGTAGAGGCTTATGACACAAGGTCTTATTTAACATGGAAGAGCTTACCGCTCGACTCCAACCAGTGACATTGTTCAGAACTTTTAGGTGACACTTAAATCAGATTTGACTATAACGAAAGGACCTTTACTCATAGAGGAACTTCTAGAAGCAGTTCTGGAGACCAAACTCAGAAGACAACGAGAAAATAGGATGAACTGGAGGGAATCGTGCTGCAGGTAGATATGCAGGTCCTGTGCTAGGCTGTTAACATCTCTTGTGCGTTTTAATCTCCAGTTCTTTGGGATGATTCTAAAGTAAGCTAGCAAGATCTATTAAATCAGCTGTCTGGAACTAACCAAAATTATCTGAACATGTGACAGGAGGTTCGTGAACACCTTAATCCAATTGCTATGACTTGGGTGTATCTCGGGCCTGAAATAACAACTAGTTGAGTCCGTTTGATGAGAAAATGAGATGTAGAAATTCCCAAGGCTAAGAAGTGATAGTGCCTCATCTAGAAGTCCCTGTCTCTTCTTTCCACCAGAATACCTACCTATACCTTTACAATTTAAATAGCCCACGTTGCAAAGATTGAGGCCTTGGTACATGAAGTACAGTGTGCTGCAGATCACGGCACACGAAAGTGAGCCAAGCAAGCAGACACCCTGACAGGGCATAAGACCAGCACACAGCCTTGACATGCGGCAGAAAGGGTCCAAAGGATCTCAAGAATTGGGTGATCCCCAGCTCTACCCATACCCAGGGAGTCAGGGAAGGCTTCATAAAGATGCCATCTGAGCAGGGAATTCAGGCTGAGAGGAGTCGGCCCAGAGGTGGAAGCACCCAGTGTGTATGAGGACCCTAAAGTAGGACCATTTGGCTGGAACAAAGGTCTTGCATAGAGTGGAAATAGTACAGTACTGTCTACTATGCCAGGCCCGTGCCAAGTGCTTAAAGTGTACATCCACCATTTAACAGTTGGGACTCTAGCCCCATGGTAAAACTGATTCAGAGGGGTAACAAGTTTGCCAGCAAGTAGGTGAGAGAACAGAGTAGAAGAAAATGACAGCTGGAGAGTTGGTGTGAGATCAGAGTGGGCTGTGGCACAAGCTAAGATGATTCTTCCCTTCTCCCTTCCCCCATTTCCTCCCCTCTCAGTCTTCCTGCCCCACCCCAGGCATCAGCAGCCCTCCTGCTGCCCAGGCCGCCATCTGTAATGGACAAGCAAGGACAACCAAAGTTTCTTAAAATGGTGTTAAATGCTTAAAATGGTGTTTATTAAAATACCATTTAAGACAAAATGAAAAGCAGCTAAAACTACACAGGAATTTACAAAAACTAAACCCTATTCAAATTGCTGTAAACTCTAGAAGAAACACTATATCTGTGAACTGAACATTCTACCAGGTAGCTGTACCCTTGACCCCTTTTCCTCACAATCCGTGACAAGTGGCATCAGTGTCAAAACAGTGTACTATTCACAAGGCTTTGAAATTACAACTTAGTCATTTTTTTTTTTCAGGTGTTATGCATTATTTGAAAATTAGCATAATCTGAGGTTTTGGTAATTTCTTCACTCTTAAACGCTAATTCAAATATTTATAAAATGCACTGTTCTTGGGGACTTTGTTAAAAATTCAGAGTGTCAACCCCACCCAGGACAGTTTGGCTGAACAGTGCCCAGATTCCACCTGTTTTTCAAGGGCTTACAGAAATGTCTGAGAACTAAAAAGAAATGTATCATCTCTAAAATTTGACCCCAAAACTGCAAAATAATGAATAAGTGCTTAGCATTATAAAAGGTAACATTGGCAATGACCGCAAAATAATTCTTACCTATATATGTAAACATAATCAAGTTCTAGAGAAGAACAATAATTTTTAACAATTTGTAAAATGTATAAACACCTTTTCAAAAATGTAAAAAAAAATACGTTTGGCCTGTAAGTGCATTTTTTTTTTCATCTGGTATGAGGTGTGACCCAGCCTCTGAGGCTAGAATGCCTGGCCTGCCAACTCCAGGAAATGGCTGTGCCTTTAGAACCAGAGATTCTGATCCAGAAGCCCTGATGTGGGCCCATGAACCAGCCTTTTTAACCAGCATCAGCCAATTTCTGCAGGAACCACACTTGGGGAAATAGTGCTGTGGGTAATGGGGAGCTACTGGGGAAACATCAAGAGAAAAACATTATCAGAGCTAAACTCAAGGGAAAGTAGTATTGTATTTAAGATGGTTTGAAAAGGGGGTGGCCAAGGGTCAAAACCTGGTTACCAGCACCTGAGATCCCCAAACCTTGGGACTATGAGATTTCATGCATAATGTACATATGGGTATTTTCTTGAGAGACTGTCCATGGCTTTTATCAGATTCTTAAAAGAGCCCACTGCCCAAAACAGTTAAGAATCACTGGTCCATGGTTTCCTCCCAAGGCTTACAAAACCCCAGGGATTAACAAAAGTTTTCCAGCCCCATCATTACGAGCGTCAACAGTGCCTATTTCAATATCGACTTTTAAAATTAATACTATTTTAAAATATTTATAAATATCTCACACTGAGTGTGTATCGGGCAGAAGGCACACACACAGCGGCCAGACTCCACAGTGCTCAGAGCCTGTGCGTGACTCACTCGCTCCACAGCCACTATCGCCAGCCGTCACCCAGCCGCAGCAGTCCAATAGCTACACAGTTTAAATTGTCTTTAATCATAGTCCTTTATGGTTAATTTATACCCAGCGTGGACAACTGGTTAAAAACAGGAAGCGTAGGGAACACAGGAAACGTTAACGTGGAGCACAAATATGTCAGTCACTCTGTGTATGTCAAGTCATTGATTCTCGCTTCATTTCTGTGAAACGACAGAAAACAAGCACAGGGACAAAGTCAGGTGCAGAGAGATGGGATTTACCTGGTTCCATGATCCACTGTGGAGACAGAACTAAGACTTGCTGCTCAGCATCTCCTAGGAACGTGACAGACGTGCAGAATTTTAAGCCCCACCTACGGAACCAATCTTCATTTTAGCACTCTCCACTTAACAAAATTTAAGAAGCACCGGTTTGGACCATAAAATTAGCAGACCTCGTACTGTAATCTGCAAGCTGGTTAAAAAAGACAGTATCGTTATGACTTTTTAAGAAAATTTTATAGGAGTTTATTTGAGCCAAAATGACAACGTAGGTCGGGAAGCAAGATCTCAAATACTCCATAACTTACTTTTTATAACTGCATTTTTTATTATAGTGTTAGATCTGAATTGGAATACACAAAAACAATTGAAGTACAGAAAGCAACAGTTATGAGCAGAATATGAACTGATTACTATAGTACTAGCTGAGAGACGCAGAACTCTGGCTGTCATGGGAATCGGCTGGGGAGCTCCCGTTGGGACCAGCCCAGGCTCAGCCCTCAGTGCCTCAAACTAGAACTACCCAAGGGGCCCACGAGTGATGGTGATCTACCCATTCACCCCCATCAAGCCCCACCAGAGCTACAGGTCCGGTTCATTCAATTAATAGGTCTCCAGGATGTCAAAAACAATGTTGAAGGAGAAAATACAGTGATGGCTATGTTGAGGGTATAGCACCAAAAAAAGCTCCCTGCCCATGTGGAGTTTATGTTCCACTGAGGGGAAGATGAACAAAATCAAACAAATTATATACTTGTCCAGATGGTGATATGTGTTATGGAGAAAAAGGGAGCAGGAAAAAGTACTCTCTCCCTGTCACATGCCGAATATGACCCCTTGCCGAAACACAGTTGAAATAATATAGGTATTTGTACAGTGAGTAGTTGGTTTAGTATCTGATTCCCCATCTAGAATATAAACTCCATGAGAACAAGGTGTGGTTTGACTTGTTTATTGCTGACGCCCACCCCTGGCATGGTGTAAGTATTCCATAAATATGAATGGATGAGTGAATGAATGCACACAGCAAAGAATTGGCAGTATGTCTGGACTTGGAAGAGCCGTTGTGGCTGGAAACAGAGCTTTAAGATTATGAATGCCAAAGACATAACCAAAGCCACAACATAAGTCGAGACCACCAAGGGAGCTGGAAAGAGGAACTAGACAATCCCTATGGAACTCCTACAGTCAGAGAGTAGAAGGAATGGAAGTTTCCAAAAGGTAGAGAGGTGGAAAAGTGCCTAGCAGGAGACCTTATCAGAGAAGCCCAGAGGGCTGGTCTGCTGTGCCAGATGCTGCAGGAGCAACTATAGAATACTAGGAGAGATCTAAGGCCATTGGGTTGGTGACCTTGAAGAGGGTCAGAAACCCCACCAGGAGCAAGTGGGGGGTTAAAGAGGTGGGGAGCTTTGGGTGCACACTACTCTTCCATTTTAAAAAAAAAAATGTTTATTTGACTACAAAAACAATACACATTGAAAAGAAATTGGAAAACAGCAAAAAGTAGGAAAAAAGAAAAAAAGAAATCAGCGTAATCCACTATGTGAGAATTTCCATGTCCTTAACTGTTCTCGAAAACACTGTTTTTAATGGCTGAATGATATTCCATCATTAAATTCTTTTGGCCTGTAATCTTTATTAAAGGTTATTCTTTGACAACTCTTTCAATTTCTTCCATAATTTTGGACTATTTCAGTTTTCTTCTTGATTTGGGAAAT